CTTGTTGGTGGTAGTGAGTGCACACCGTGTCCGTGTGGATCACGCGATTTCGCGCAAGAGATAAGTTCGTTTACCTGCAGGTATCGAATCTTTATTTCGGTGAATCAAAACACACCGTTGCTGTTATATTAGTATCGTAAATTTAAGTAAATATTCTTTAATTCTTTCATGAATATAACTAACAATTTTATATTAATTCTAATACGTTTTTATTATCAGCAGATGATTACGGACTATTGTGTTACCTGGCAAACGAGAAACGATGCTTGTTCAAATTAAATATTACTTAAATATTTAATGTAAAATCTGGCAATCTCTTAGCATAAGAAATCAGAATTACTCAAATCGAATTTTAATTTTTTATTACTTTTACTAATTGAAACTACTGTATCATTTATAGATGGCAATAGCATGGACTAAACATTGTAAAATAAACTTGTATTGTTTATTTCTATATGTATCAGCAAGCGTGAACCTTCGACACAAGAATTGTGTTTGTTTGAACACAATATACACTTTCTTATCGTGTGTCGTCATTGCCAGCACCTCACGCCGCATGTTGGTGCATCTTAGTTTAGTTTAGATGACAGTTAATGTACCTATCGCAAATTCGCGTACAAGGTCGCGTGCCTTCGACGCGCCGTCTTTGCGCACCTCTTACTTTCTTATCATATAAATTATATTCCCCGTTTGTGTCGAGCGGTTTTATATTAACGATTTCGTTATCGACTCACGAGTTATTAAATATAATTTATTTATTTATTGGTTCGAATCGCGATTGCGGATTAGAATTGGTTTTAGACTTTGATTCACTTTGTTGGTTTTTAGGATTTGTTAAGTGGGTTCTTGATGATCGATTCAGAAGAACTTGTTAACTTCCACTTGTTTATTCAACGAACTTGGATGATACAATAATCACTTAGGTCTAGGTCTGCGCTCTATTTATATGGCTCTAATATGCGTTTTAAATAAATATGAAGAGAAGATGCGCAACGAAACAGGAAATGCGCAATTAGGTGACTTTAAGACAATGATTTCTAGAAATTGATAATTACGTTTGAAATAAATAAGTATTGCGCTTGAAATAAATATCATGATTGCGTCTTAACTAATGATTCTTGTTTGGTCATCGGGTTCTGTTCATATAACTTATATGTCCCGTCGTTGTTTACGCAGTTTCGGCATGCACTATCGGTGTATTGCAGGCGGTTTCGTGCCGGTCGTTAGTTAATCCAGCTGTGTATTGAGAGAGTTATACGAGTATCGTTTATTCGTGTTATACACGAAGATCAATCGACTATTTATTTGTACTTTGCGACTATAGTAATTTGTTTAATGTTCGGAAATGCCGGTTTCTGATCGCGTTTGTTTCTTCATGTGTGTTTGATGTCGGTTACTAAATTATATATCGCCCCCATGTTGATTCTCATCATTAAGAAAGATGCATCCGGCTCGTGTAAGTATATTGTTTATTTGCACATATGGTTTATTTTGCGTTGATTGTTAATTATCATAATAACATAACATAATTCAATTGTATGAAATATTTTTGTTTTAATTTATGTTTTCGTTTAGTTACAGCACTCGTTGTGCCTGGCAGTCCGATAAGCTAGATATTCGCGATTGAATAAAATAGGCAAAAATTGCAAAATGTCACTTTTAGCACTTTTAGTCGCGTTTTTCGACCTTTTACTGTAGGAAATATAATTATTTTATATTTTTATCTGATAGAGAATTTTCCAATCTTTCATAATCAACAATTCGTTGGTAGCTATCTCTTTTAGTTTAAGAGATATGAATTTTTGAAAATCGTCGAAAAAAAGTATCAAGCACCCCCCCTTGGCAATTTTTTCTTAAGATTTGAAATTTCATCATTCAAATTTCCGATTTAACTATCCTATCTGATAGAGAATAGTCTGTAGATTAAGACGCTGCGATCGGATCTTAATTATCTCTTTTAGTTTACGAGATATTCGCGATTGAATAAAATAGGCAAAAATTGCAAAATGTCACTTTTTAGCACTTTTAGTCGCGTTTTTCGACCTTTTACTGTAGGAAATATAATTATTTTATATTTTTATCTGATAGAGAATTTTCCAATCTTTCATAATCAACAATTCGTTGGTAGCTATCTCTTTTAGTTTAAGAGATATGAATTTTTGAAAATCGTCGAAAAAAAGTATCAAGCACCCCCCCTTGGCAATTTTTTCTTAAGGATTAAAATTTCATCTCTCAGATTTCCTTTTAACTATCCTATCTGATAGAGATTGGTCCGTAGATTAAGACGCTGCGATCAGATCTTATTTATCTCTTTTAGTTTACGAGATATTCGCGATTGAATAAAATAGGCAAAAATTGCAAAATGTCACTTTTTAGCACTTTTAGTCGCGTTTTTCGACCTTTTACTGTAGGAAATATAATTATTTTATATTTTTATCTGATAGAGAATTTTCCAATCTTTCATAATCAACAATTCGTTGGTAGTTATCTCTTTTAGTTTAAGAGATATGAATTTTTGAAAATTGTCCAAAAAAGTATCAAGCACCCCCCCTTGGCAATTTTTTCTTAAGGATTAAAATTTCATCTCTCAGATTTCCTTTTTAACTATCCTATCTGATAGAGATTGGTCCGTAGATTAAGACGCTGCGATCAGATCTTATTTATCTCTTTTAGTTTACGAGATATTCGCGATTGAATAAAATAGGCAAAAATTGCAAAATGTCACTTTTTAGCACTTTTAGTCGCGTTTTTCGACCTTTTACTGTAGGAAATATAATTATTTTATATTTTTATCTGATAGAGAATTTTCCAGTCTTTCATAATCAACAATTCGTTGGTAGCTATCTCTTTTAGTTTAAGAGATATGAATTTTTGAAAATCGTCGAAAAAAAGTATCAAGCACCCCCCCTTGGCAATTTTTTCTTAAGAATTAAAATTTCATCTCTCAGATTTTCCTTTTAACTATCCTATCTGATAGAGATTGGTCCGTAGATTAAGACGCTGCGATCAGATCTTATTTATCTCTTTTAGTTTACGAGATATTCGCGATTGAATAAAATAGGCAAAAATTGCAAAATGTCACTTTTTAGCACTTTTAGTCGCGTTTTTCGACCTTTTACTGTAGGAAATATAATTATTTTATATTTTTATCTGATAGAGAATTTTCCAATCTTTCATAATCAACAATTCGTTGGTAGCTATCTCTTTTAGTTTAAGAGATATGAATTTTTGAAAATCGTCGAAAAAAAGTATCAAGCACCCCCCCTTGGCAATTTTTTCTTAAGAATTAAAATTTCATCTCTCAGATTTTCCTTTTAACTATCCTATCTGATAGAGATTGGTCCGTAGATTAAGACGCTGCGATCAGATCTTATTTATCTCTTTTAGTTTACGAGATATTCGCGATTGAATAAAATAGGCAAAAATTGCAAAATGTCACTTTTTAGCACTTTTAGTCGCGTTTTTCGACCTTTTACTGTAGGAAATATAATTATTTTATATTTTTATCTGATAGAGAATTTTCCAATCTTTCATAATCAACAATTCGTTGGTAGCTATCTCTTTTAGTTTAAGAGATATGAATTTTTGAAAATCGTCGAAAAAAAGTATCAAGCACCCCCCCTTGGCAATTTTTTCTTAAGGATTAAAATTTCATCTCTCAGATTTCCCTTTTAACTATCCTATCTGATAGAGATTGGTCCGTAGATTAAGACGCTGCGATCAGATCTTATTTATCTCTTTTAGTTTACGAGATATTCGCGATTGAATAAAATAGGCAAAAATTGCAAAATGTCACTTTTTAGCACTTTTAGTCGCGTTTTTCAACCTTTTACTGTAGGAAATATAATTATTTTATATTTTTATCTGATAGAGAATTTTCCAATCTTTCATAATCAACAATTCGTTGGTAGCTATCTCTTTTAGTTTAAGAGATATGAATTTTTGAAAATCGTCGAAAAAAAGTATCAAGCACCCCCCCTTGGCAATTTTTTCTTAAGGATTAAAATTTCATCTCTCAGATTTCCCTTTTAACTATCCTATCTGATAGAGATTGGTCCGTAGATTAAGACGCTGCGATCAGATCTTATTTATCTCTTTTAGTTTACGAGATATTCGCGATTGAATAAAATAGGCAAAAATTGCAAAATGTCACTTTTTAGCACTTTTAGTCGCGTTTTTCGACCTTTTACTGTAGGAAATATAATTATTTTATATTTTTATCTGATAGAGAATTTTCCAATCTTTCATAATCAACAATTCGTTGGTAGCTATCTCTTTTAGTTTAAGAGATATGAATTTTTGAAAATCGTCGAAAAAAAGTATCAAGCACCCCCCCTTGGCAATTTTTTTCTTAAGAATTAAAATTTAATCTCTCTGATTTCCCTTTTAACTATCCTATCTGATAGAGAATAGTCCGTAGATTAAGACGCTGCGATCAGATCTTATTTATCTCTTTTAGTTTACGAGATATTCGCGATTGAATAAAATAGGCCAAAATTGAAAAATGTCACTTTTTTAGAATAATTTTCCCAGATGCGGAATTTAATTCTGAACCACACTGTATTGAAATTTATTGCGAGAAAATTTCGTATTGGGATTTATATTGAAAGTTGTGTGTATACGCACTGGTACTCGTTGTGCTGGGAATTGTAGTTTTACTGACATATCTTGCGATTGCGGTGTCACAATTAGTTTGGAATAATTTCCCCAGATGCTGTATTGAAATTTATTCCAAGAAAATTCCGTAACGCGAGTTATGATGATAGTTGTGTGTATACGCATATACGCAATAGTACTCGTTGCGCTAGGAATTGTTGTTTTTTTTAGTATAACACGCGAACGCGGTGCTAGAATAAGTTTGAATTAATTTTCCCAGATGAGAATTTAATTCTGTATCTTTCTGTAATAATATTTATTGCGAGATTTATATATACTAATACTTATATATTATATTTATACATAGTTGTGCAAGTTGTTTTAACTCATGTTTTTTTACAGTATTCGCTGTATCATGGAGTGCGATGAGTTCTGCATTAACATTTACATAAACGTTAACGCAACCCTTCTATGGTGCCTTGAATGGGAGTCACTTCTACCGCTATCTTCGTACGTTGCTCTATATAGGAGTCTTCATGGACCCTGTAAGAATAATTAATTTGATTTATGTATCTGTATATTTCACTTACATAAATATTTTCCAGTTGTTTAATGAAGCATTGGCAAATTCTGAGATGGCCAAGTTTATCAATAAGGACCAACTGGAGAGCTTCCGTGGTACTGGTAGAGTGCGTATTGAGAATGAAGTTTTGATTACTGATGATGGTCAACTAGAAGAGTGTCAACTAGGCCAAAATACTCAGAACGTATGTTATATTTTTGCAATTTATAATATTTTATGTTTTACTATTTTGTTATTCATTCTGATTTATAGAGTCCAAGAAATTGAAGATTGGATTGCCGGTGTTGATGATGATTCCAAATACGATTGGATGAATTTACAACATTTTGAAGCTGATATTGATATTATTTTTATGTATTTTGTTAAAAGGTATAAAAAGAGCATTATCTAATTACATATTATTATCCTATTTTCATGCTTGTATTGTTAAAAATGTTGTATAAATTAAGAAATTGAGTTTGTGATTCTACATGTTTGAATAAAATTGTAGTTTTATAAATTTTTATTGTTTTATTTGTTCCAAGCGGAGAACATAGCTCGCAACATCGTTACTCCTTTAATTAATCCATAAATCCCTTAAACTTTAATGGAAATGCCACTGCTATATATGAGAAATAGTTCAAAATCAGTTTTATATTGTATCAATATTTATTTAAAAACGGTATCACTAGTGTCATCTATCCACGAGTAACTAAACTACGCCCGCTATTCAAGATTGCTGGAGATTTAGCCTCCTCAACTTTCTGCGATCCTAATATTCAAATGAATTTTGTTACCAATTTCAATGGATTTGTCGACAAAATTTGTCGAGAAATTTGTTGAAATTTGCTGCTCATCAGTCTGTAGTATTAGGAACGCAGAAAGTGGGCATAGATATTTCCCATCAAATTATTATATATATTATTTCAGTTTGTTTCGGTACATTTTCATTTTTTTCTATAAAATTGCAAATAGGGCCTAAGCAGTTAATGCTAGTAAAAAAATTACTAAAATAAATGTTGTAGAATTAAATTGTCTATCAGAATTCGAAAACAGAATTTAAAAATTCCAACTTTTAAATTCGACCATAAAAAAGAGAAATCTTTTGCCATTTTTTTAATAAAATCTTTTCTTTAAAAATTTTTTGTACCATTTTGATGATTTTTCAATAATGATGCCACCTTGTAGACAATTTTTCAAGGATCAAGAATATATAGTTCTTTTTCTTCTAGCCCAATTACTTGTCGAGATAATTACGATTTAATCTTCTAATTAGGAATGTTGAAAATTAAAAATCAAATTTTTTAAATTCTGTTTTCGGCTTCTGATACCTTATTTAATTCCCCATCGATTATTTCAGTAATATTTTTTGCTAACATTAACCGTTTAGGCCCTATTAGCAATTTTAATGAAACATGTGCATGCCGTCGGAATAGTCTAACTTAGAAGATTAAAATAGTAATTATCTCGACAACCAATAGGGCTAGAAAAGAAGGAACATCATATTCTTAATCCTTAATAGATTCTCTACAAGATGGCATCATAATTAAAAAATGATGAAAATGGCACAAAAAATTTTTAAAGAAAAGATTTTATTAAAAAAATGGCAAAAGATTTCTCTTTTTTATGTTGAAAATTAAAAGTTGGAATTTGAAAATTCTGTTTTCGGATTCCGATAGACAATTTAAATCTACATCAATTATTTTAGTAACTTTTTTTGCTAGCACTAACCGTTTAGACCCTTTCGACTCAGTATAAACCAAAACAAACAAGATTATGACATTTTCACAGAATTGTAGAAAACCATAAGTTGCTGCAAAATTGTTTTTGTTCAGGAGGTGTAGGATGGGGATACAAAAACTTCGCATTCGATTAAATTATTTATTTGTTTAAATAATATATCACTATATACGTTTATGATCATATATATCTTGTATATGCATTATATATATATATACTATATATCATTCACACGCGGCGCTCATCCACGCATCTAAACACGTTTTACGATATTCCTCTAAGAATTAGTATGGCAGAGACGTATACACCTCGAATACTGACTCGACCCGCGATGCAGAAGACTCGCGGGTCGCCACAACATACCTTATAACACATAGAATATAATACGTTTTGGTAACAACATTTTGTTTCACTTTCGCTTTCCGTTGCTAGCCGATCTCATCGCTTGTCCTGTGCGCACAGTGGCCGGCTAGTCGGGCAGCATGTGCACGAAACTGATCGGAAACATGCCGCGCCTTTCAGGCTCGGCGGCGACCATGCCTTCCATCCAGTTTTCATCTTCGGTGTTCTCGTTGAGCACGATGATGATTTCACCCTCTTGGAATGAGAGCTCGTCCTCATTGTCGGCGTCGCAGTTGTACAGCGCCGTACAACGACGTGTTGTGTTGCCGTTGGGGACGTGAACGGGCGGGCGACCTGTCGCGCCGCCACCGCCTGGTATAACGCCCATTCCCACGCCCAGACTGCTCACGGAGCGCGGGGAGGATGACATAGGACTGGAACCGTGTCGACCCATCGGTGGTGAATCCGACGCCTATAAAATAAAACAAACACAATTAGTAACGAATACAAAAACAAGCAGGAAAGCATCAATCGATTGGCATATTTCAATGTTAGTACAGCCAAGAAACAAAACTAACAAACAATTAATTGTTTTCATCGACAATTCTAACGTTACTTTTGATTCGACCACGGCTTTCATCATCATGATACGCTGGTAATGCCGCGATCTTCCCTGACAAATGTATAACTCATCTTTAATTCAATTCATAGCACAGATTGAAAGTTGTACTTACTCGTCTAGGCGGTGGAATAGGATTGAGCGATGAGTCCAGATCTGACGACATTGAGCAGATGCTCTCAGATGACATCCCATTAGAGAGCCGTCCACTGAGACTCGCTGGTGTCGGAGGCGGTGGATTCTGTGGTCGCTTCACGTGCTTGTCCACCATCGACTTATCGTGCATGACTAGTTTACTACCTGTAACAATTTAACAGACAAAATTTAAAACTGAGATGGCGTGGTTTAAAACAAACTCACCGTATTGTATCACAGAACGACTTGAACTGGAGTCACCGCTAGGCGAACGCTTGTGCGTGTGACTAAGGGTGTGATAGCCGGCGGCGACCGGATCGGACGGCGTGCGACTGTGGCTGCTCGGCAGCGTGCCGTACATGCCGCCGCCGAGCTGCATCGAACCAGAGGGCGGCAACGGAGCAACACGTTTCTTTAGACTTCCGTGGCCATGCCCATGAATGGTCGCTAATAAAAAAAGCCCTTAAATTAACTAACATTCTATGGGTATTGGTCGGTAGGACTTACCAGTCACTGGCTTTCGTGACTGCGGCGGTGGTGGTGGCGGCATTTGCCGGTTACTGTTGGGGCTGGTGCCTTGCAGACTATCCGAAGTTGAAGATCTGGACCGCAACACGCCCGGCGAATCACCGCCAGTATAACTCGGCGGGCGTGACCGATTCTTTTTCTCGGGCGTCAATGATCCATTCTATAAACATTATATTCATCATTAGTGGACTGTGCCACGCCCACCAATTTATAACTTACCCTATCGTCAATAATCGTCTCATCTTCAGAGAAATCCGTGGAACCGTCATCGTGCGACAAATTCCAATCGATGTTGATGTTGTCAAACAGATGCTTCTGCCGGTTGGCAGCGTTTTCGAGCAGCTCCTGACACTGCTCGTGGTGCATATCAACGGCGATATCCATCGGCGTCTTGTCTTGGGAATTGCGTAAGGTAGGATCGGCGCCTGAACGCAATAACAGCTTCATGCACTCCGGTTTATCGAAGAGTGCACAGTAGTGCAGAGCGGTGTTGCCGCCCGACATATCTGGCGTGCACGGCGGTGCCGTCTGCCTGTCAATACCATGCGATGGCATGTTCTGCACAAGAAAGTCAACAATTGCAAGGTTCTTGCCGCCGGAGCGCAGTACCGCGCGATGAAGTGCCGTCTGACCCTCGTCCTAAAATAATCAACACATTCTTAATCAAATTTAACTCCAAACAAAATAATAACAATGACATACAGATGATGGCAGTACCGCCGACAAATCAACGTTTTCGGCGAACACCTGAAGAAGCAGTGGTAGATCGATGCTGTTGACGGCCTCTTCGAGGTCGTAGAGTTTCTGTTGTTCGGAGTGGCATGTTTTCATCGAGAAGCGCTTCTCAACGTACTTCGCTCGAATAAAACTGAAGCGATCCTCCCTAAAAATTCATTTGATAATAGAGTCAACATTATTATTATCATAATAATATTGCGTACATTGAGCTGGACGGCGTCGGCTTCGAATTGTGATGTAAATGCAGATTAGCTTCCATGACGTCATTGAAATACTGATTCGTCATGTATCTCGCAAGCAGCAGCTGACTGGTGCCCACGTTGTCCAGTGTCAGCGATTGAATACGCGAAATGTGCACGCCCAGGTCGCGATGGATGCCCGAGCATTCAATGCACACGATGATACCAAAGTTCGTTGAGAGCCATGTCGCATCTGTGCGCAACACAACATAACCGTTAGTTTTTACCAGAAAATCATGCTCGTGTCTTACCATTTTGTGAATTGCAATCACAGCAGTGATCATTTCCAGGGATACGCTGAATGTACCTGATGATGGTCTGCTGTAGCTCGATGAGACCATGATTCACTTTGTCACCGCCGCTTTTACTGCTGTCGTCGAATGCCTTCATCAGCGCGCGCTCTTTACAGTTCACCAGCACAGAAGTCCACGCATGTTGGTCCAATTCGTCCTCGGCTTGGAAGTGATACGTTCGGTTGTCTATGAAAATGCATGATAATTACACACATATTTATTAAATAAAGTGTAACTTACATGATATCAAATCAAATCCCCGCTTGTCTTCATGAACGGGTTTAATTTGACACGTGAGAAGGTTCACTCGCGTCGGTGGTTTGGACTCATCCGCATGGCAAATCTCAAGATACCCCTCCGCCTTAACATTGCAGCGCCGTTTCTGCCACACCCTGCGCATTTTACCCTCGGACTTCTTCAGCAAGTGCCCGCTCCTCGTATACCCCTGGTGCTTATCTCCCTGCAGCTGATGCAATGAGTAACCGACCGCTGTGCGATCGCCACCCATTGCACCAGCCCCGCCCCCTCCACCCACCGATTCGCGCTCGCTGCCAGGCGGGCCGGAAGCCACCCGAATCAAGACGCGCAGCTCATTTAAACTGCGCCGCTCTTCCTCTTGTTGCTGTCGAATCTTCTGCAGGCCTACGCTTAAATCGGCAACGTAGCTTCCAAAATGCTCGATGGTCTTCAGCCCATCCTGGAAGTAATTCGTCTGCGCGTGATAATACTTAACGAGGTTCTGCAGAAGATCGATACCGCGCTTCGTCTTAATCTCGTTGTATTTGATGAGATACTCGCACGCCTGCAGCTGAAAAAGGCGGCGTTCTTTCTCCATCTCGTCGGCAACTTCAGCCGGTGTGATTTCTTGCCGAAAGAGGCCAGCGTCTTTGGCGTGCTGCTTCTTTTCCTTTTCAATCTTCATGTATTTACTCTCGTAATCTTTCCACGCTTTGTCAAACGGTCGTTTTAGGTCACCTTTGACTCCGCGTAAGTCTCCTTTGAGAATAACGTCTAGTGGAAACAGGACGATATTCTGCATGTTCTGCATGAGTGTCTTCATCAGCGCAGAGAGCTCCTTGTTGACGACGGAGAACTTGGCAAACGCAGCGCTGATGCTCACGTCGTCGTCATCGCGCGATAAACCGTGGCCCAGCTTCTCCAGGGCTTGGGAGAGAGTTATTTCATTCTCCACATGCGCTAAAAGTAATAGTTTCTTATAGGCAACCCAAATCACAATCAAGTTGGAAGTTGAATGCTTAAAGTTTTTATTTGAACTTACTAGCTCCGGACGTGATTATAGCCTTTATGGCCTTCTTCATTTTGGTCAAACCTTCCCTGTCATAGTCAAGGATCTAAAAAATAGTGTTGTTAGTAATCGGGACACTCTGTATTTTCAGGAGGAGACAAATAAATCGCGCACGAATGTCACGACGGAGAGTCGGTGTTTCGGGTGATAAGTGCGCAAAGTTTATTAATAACTCGGATTTCGTGGCATGCCGTGAGTTTACGTAAACCACACGAGTTATGCGGTGAATGTGCGACAACATAACAAGTCGCAAAAATAACAGACCGCCGTATATACTTAAACAAAGGGCAAGTCGCTTTCGCAAATCGTCCACTGTTTGTTTGTCTAGAAAAGTGGTTGATTACCTCCTCGTAGGTGTTGATGGCTTGTCGACACTGCGGCATCCGCGAGACAAAGTTGGACGTAATCGGACTGCTGTAGTCCTCCTCTGCCTCGCGCACGAACTCGGCGACAGTGATCGGCGACGGCATCGCGTCGTCGACGGTGTACATGGGGGTAGCGAAGGCGCTGAGGACGGTCACCACGGCGGCGGTTGTTCACTGACGACGCACGGCGGCGCGCCACACTGCCGCCCTGCACATTTCCAACGCACCGATTGCACTCGCACAACACACGCACGGCGATGATGTCTAGTGAAACGGGGAGGATGCGAGATGCATCGCACGATCGCACGGCAGACGCACGTTAGAGCGGGCAGCGACTTGAGCGGCGAACGGAACGGACGCGTATGCGCTGCGGCGAGCGGACCAGACACGGAGCTGATTACTCATGAGCTGACAAGCGGGCTCCTTACAATGTGCGACTGCAAGCAAACATATTCATTCGCCCGCGGTGAAGAAAAACGGGTATAGAGTACGTGTGTCGGAGATTCGTGGCGGAAACGTTGCCAGCGCCCTCGTTGGCAGTGCGCGAATGTTAGCAAATCGACCGTTGCGCGCACTTCCTCACTCGGTTCGTGCGGTGCAGTGTTGATTCTTTGTTGTGTGCGTTTGCTTCGCCCGCTTCCTCTTGCGCTCTGACAGAATAATCTTTCTTTTTCATTCATTCGTAGCGTAGTCAACCATGTACCCATAGTGTTCCATTCGTGTATCCTCGGGCGTTTGCGGACGACCTTGCTTCCCGCACACCGGATGTAAATACAAAGTGATACAATAAAATCCAACATAACAAATCGCCTACACTCAAAATTACATATATAAAACATCAAATATCTTCGCATAATTTTATATTTATAGTTATATTATAGTTATATACCATTGGGGTTTTGTTTAATAATTTTTTTGAGTAAAAAAACAAACACCTGTTATTTATTATTTGTTGTTGTTTATATAGCCAGCCGTTCACATAAAAGCATGAAACGATGAAACAATAGAAGAAAGAAAACACAATGGGCGCAATATGCGCCGCGTGTGAACTTTTCCGGTACGAAAAAATGCGCATTACTGAGTCACTAACTCACTATGTCATCGATGTGCATGCAACGCAATGAGATGTGAGAAATCCACTTCACTCTCGTTGGATTATTGCTCATTGTGATGCGTGCGACTCATGCGAGTTTTCATAGGTGTGCGATGCGTGCGCAGAATGTCTGTGTTTATTGTATGAATTGAATTAGTCAGTCATTTACTATGTGACTGAGTGTGTGCGATGGCAGACCGGAAGCGCCACGCACAGCACGCGCACACAACACGATACGCTCTGTTTATCAATTTCCGGTAAGCGCACGGTGGAACTAATGACTTAAATGAGATGCAAACAACTTGAAAACCAACACATAACACACGAATCGAAGTAAATTTGAGCCGCGAGACTTTTCGCCGCCAGATAAATAGACATAGAACAAACAAATCACTGAAAATTACAAACTTTGGAGGTGTTTTTGGGTAGTTATCGTTGACAAAATCGGTTGAATAAAACAGCATTTATAAGAACAACTCTTTTTTTTTTCATTGCTTCTATACTTACTGCATAAGCCACTCCGGATCTCGTTGACCATTCCGATAAAGAACATTTCAAAACGTCAACACTGCACTCGTACACATGATACACAACATTTATTGATAATTCATTTGTAAAACACTAAACAACTTCTTGTTTATTATGTTTATTAAGTTATCTTGTTTAAAAAATACAATAAACGTAACAACTCACAAGAAATGTTCACATGCGATGCGACGACAAGACACTAGTGTTTGTATAATCTGAGAAGCTACACGAAGCAAAGACGGTCGGCCGGCGGTGCGTGCAAACAACAAACTGATAAAAACAAAACCTGATGCACAAAATCACATAATCTCAGAAGGACACGAGTGTCACACTACCTCTAACAAACAACTGGTTACGATAAAAGGATTTCGAATTTAATGCGAATATGTGCATCGCAGCGCCATCTACAATTGAATTATAAAGTTATATTTTACGTATCTCCATGTTTGAATTTAGCTTGTTGTGCTGAAAGATCTCTTGAATTACAGTATGTAAATGTAAATAAATGTATTAATAAATGAAATATAAGCTGGAGAGGATCACGTTCGAATGATATTTAGCACAAGTCTTAACTTAAGAGCTCTATTAGGTCTTCTTCAACACTAGTGCTAGTAGTCTAGTGGGATCTCTAAATATTAATTTGGCAATACTTGCCGCCGCCGCACGGAAGAACTAATTATATGTATGTTCACATTTCAACAATATATCGAATCGTTCGCAAACGGTAAACGCAACGCTTTGACACCCTGATTCGTCTAGAAATCTACTTGCCACCTGGTACATGATGGCCTGCATAACAATTGATTTTTACATTTTACAAAAAGTGAACTCATGACTTGATATGTCGTTTCACTGCTGCGCCTCTGACAAACATTGGTAAAGTAACAGTTCCTACAAATCTGTATAAATCCATAAATTCAACAACGATAAAAATCCTATTGTCATACATTTTACAAACGGTGTATACTAGTTTCTTACAAATTTCTCGGTTTCTGTTTGTAAAATGTGTGTGTTTGTGTGTGTGTGTGGGGGGTTTGTAAACTTTTGACGCATATCACAATGTCGCTACAGAAGTGAATGTGTGCGCTTAGACCGATATGTAGAGTTTAGTCGACGGCGTTGATGATGATCGTCTTGCCCTTCGGATCGTCAAAGCGGTCCATGGTCTTAATATCCATGATCATCGCAATGCCAATGGAAATGATGATAGCCAGGATGACAGTGACAAAGAGGCCGGACCAGATGGCTGGCGATGTGAAACCCACGCAGTCGTAGGAGTCATCGAAGCCAACCGTCTTTTCATTGGTGCCGTTGTTGAAGAACTGCAGCTGGAAGGTAGGGAATTGCAGGAATTGCGGCTTGAAATCCGTTTTGCCAGTGGAAGTCTCACGAAGTGTCAAGTTGCTACTGCAACTGGAAGAGAATCCCAGCGGATTGTGCATATCGGTGGTGAATGTAGCGCCTCCGTAGGTGACGTTATAGACTATCCAGTAGCCATCAACAGTTCTGATGTAGTTCAAGGTAATGTCGCCACCGTCGGTAGAAATGGTTAAAATTCCCAAGCCAGTTTTATCATCAAATCCCGTCTCCTTTGGTACAAGGCTCTTCAATTCCTTTATACTAAAAATATATTTATGTATATAAAAATATTGAAATAAATAGATTTGCAATCAGTATACCTAGTGCCATCTTTGGCAGTGTGGAAGAAAGAGCCATTTAGGTAAACTAAGAAATGAGGAAGTTTGGTTACTCCTTCAACTGCCTTAACCTCACGAGTTTGCCTGTGCTTGACAATATCCCCAGGGACAATCCAGGAGGAGTGACGACCAGTGTAGATAGCCAGGACGTTATCCCTGCTACTAGCTGAGACCTTCTCATAAACCTCAGCAATGAATTTAGCTATAAAACAAATCACATGTCAGTAATCATGTGATACACAATATCAAATGACTTACAGTGCCTCTTGAGCATATCCACTCTATCCTCATCATCCTTGGCATCATTCAGGTCAATGATCAACTGCTTCCTCTCCAATAACTTGGGATCCTTGATGATATCATCCACAGACACACTGGGGATGTCAGAACCAAAGGATTGGATCACTTCCATGGGTGTGGAGACAGTGGGCAGATATGTCACTCTAGTATGGTCTGAGAGTTGGCTCAGTTCATAGAAAGTTTTGGCAGAGAAGTCTTCAGGACTGAGGCTCTGCTCAGCAAAGATGATCATTCTTTCACTGTGTTGGTGTGCTTGCTTCTGGAGAAGGATCTCTTTGAATGTCTCCTGGCTGACATGTGTAACGGCTGGGAAGAGTCCTTTGGTACTAATATGCAAAATAAAATTTTAGAATTGTTTCAATTTGGTATGGATATTCAGATATGTACTTTAAGAGGTACTTACGGAATCGTTTGCCACATATACACGGGGACCAATTCACTGGCATTGGCGGTGAAGAGGCCCACTGTCAGCAGCAGGAAGAGTTGGGATGTTAGGCCCATGGTGAGCTGGAGAACCGGAGGACTGGATACGCGAGTCACGTGAAATCTAGGTGTAGCAGGCGTTGTAATGAAGCGATCATATGGTTCGACGTCGACCGAACAACTGAGAGGGGCAACGGTTGAATAAGAGGTGGGACAAACTCACGAGCACCGAATCACGGGATCGGCGCTTTGAGTAACGCCAAAGTATTGTATCAGAGATGGCGCTGCTTGATGCCTCCTGAGATAGTGATTTTCACAATATTCTTTAAAAAAAGGTCAAAAAACGCTTGAAACCCTCTTAAATCTTGGTAAAAACATGATAACAACATTTAAATCTATCCAGAGCAGATCTTAGCTTGATTTTTCATGATTTTTGCACAAATTATACCAAATGACGTGGAACCTACAACAAAACCACAAACCAAATTCAAGATACAAGTACGTTTGTAATTAAAAGTTAACATAGTGTACAGTAATCGCAAATAGTGCTCGTGACTGCTCATGTTATCATCATCATCATCCTGCCTTACTCGAACTAAATTCACTAAAATTATTTACAATACGATTTTAGATAGATCGACCAACCGGTTGGCCTATAGGACATTAGGTACATTCGCATCATATTACAAAACTCCAACCTGGGCGTCCCCCTAAAAAGTCATATCGTATCCTAACGCTCATAATCAATCTCATAAAATGCAAATATAAATCTCTGGTCTACTAAAAAGTAATAAAATACATAAAACCCTTTCACAAAGGAAACAAAGTTCAAACATTAACATTTAACGAATGTTATTTCATCATGCAATTGCACCCCCCGGCGCGCTTTACTTTCATTCCATTCTATTCTCTTTTAGACGGCAGCGCCATCTCGGCTTCCAGCTTAATCTCTTTGACGGAGTTGATTTCATTCTGAAACGTGTCAAAATCCAAGCGTGTTCGTTTGCTTGGCGGATGACCCGAGTCCTCCTCGTCGTCGGATATATCCGGCTCGATAAATTTCCGCACATCCCCACCGGGGGCCAATCCCCCGCCAGTGACACCTTTATTCCGATCGAGGAACAAACGTAAATCCTGCAACGCTTGTTTAAACTCATCCTCGTGTCGCTTACAGAAGTCCTGCAGCGACCCACCCTGCAGTATCTCCGTACAATTCGATCGTATGATCGACTCGTACTTAGCAGACAAGTCTCCGAGATACTTGACAAACGCAGCGGTGCCGTTGTCCTTCTCCTCGGCGGCGGCGATTTCCTCGAAGCGCGCCTCGGCTTCCTCCTTGTTGAAAACAATGAACTCATCCATATTCACTTGGTCTTCTTCTTCCTTCGTGGGGTTAAACAGCAACGCCCTCCGTGCGGCCATCATTTGTTGCTCGCCCACCTCGAGGTCTTTGTTTTCGGCGGTGCGCAGATTCGGCAGGCACACGAGGAGCGTGGAGAAGAGCACAATCATTAGACACGTGGTCGGTGTAGCTTTACTCGAACCACTGCATAATAATTCCTGCAATTTTTTCAACTGCTCTGAGAGTTTAGTGTTCTCCCTGTTTAGATTCTTCACTTTACTCTTGAGGAGCTCGTTTTCCTCGTCGGTTTTGCGGGCTTTTTCCTCCAACTGATCAACGTATTCCTTCTTACGTTTGCGGGAATCTTGCGCGGAGATTTTATTGCGGATTTTGCGCCGGATGCGCTTCAACTCCTTCTCTTCGTATTTCGTAAGCGGGTAGTGAGTTGGGAGCTTGATGCCTTCCTTCATAAGGAGGCGTTTTTCTTCGCCGGTCAACTCCAAAGCAGGATAGTTGTTTCCATCCATGGGTATTGGTTGATCCAGATCAATATCATCTATTTAATACAAAATTTTATTAATTTTTATGTCACAAGAGTGAGTTTTATTTGAAAACCTACCATCTACAGACTCTGAACTCGTGGACGCAGCATACTGGGACACTTTTTTAAACACGGGCTTGGCCTGTGCAGGGATGAACTTCAACGCCTCCATGTTGAGCTCGTTAGCTCTAATCACCTTCAACTTCTTGATGTCTTTCACATTGACGGGTAATAATAACGATCGCCCGCCTGCTTGTACCCTAATCACTTGATTCTTTCCATTGTTGATGATTTTGTTTGTTTTTGCATTCGGTCCCATTAAAGGAATATCTGTATCAAAACACGATGCGATATAATGTATATAATGTGATAAAGTTGGAAGGGTAAACAAAATAATTTACCTTGAGATGATTTCGTAACAATAAACTTCTTAGCAGGTTGCTGTGTGTTGTTCACCGACGGGGCAACCCTCTTGATCAACTTGTGGGCGACATTGTTGACCACGGGGGTGTGCACGACGGTGTCCGCAATAAACTGCTGCAGGTGCTCGTTTTGCATGGACGCCTGATCAATGAAGCTGTAATAATCATCGCTGGTAAGCGTTTCGCTCGCCTGACTACCGAAAAGTGTACTAGAACCGTAAATAAAAAAAAGCAATAAAAGTAAAACAAAAAAGTTGTTTAGCAATAAAACGTGAATCACATTGTGCATAAAAAAGAATAGCAAGCAAGAGAAAGAGTGGGAATGCAGAGCTCTCTCACTATTGCTCCAATTTCTTTTCTGCAAAAGCGCAAGAAAAGTGAAAGGTCAGCCGCTCGACCAGTTTATCTACTGCTGCGTGCGAATTTCAAATTAACATTATCCACGACTCGCACACATGGCTTTTGGAGGTTAGCCGGATTCCATATGGTACATGATAAGCAGAGATCTGTCTTATCAGCCATGCAAAAAAAAAGGAAAACACTTACATTTGCTCGTGAAAGTTATCGCTGTCATTAGAGCCGATGTCGCTATCTGTCCGAGGACTGTTGTGGTGGGTTGAGGAGGGTGAGGTGGAGGGTGATTCTATTCCGGAGGTGCTTTCTGCAAAACTGGCGTCGTCTTTCAGTAGATCATCATTGAAGAAGCGCATTTTATCATCAATCACTTCCAGGAAGTTGTCTTTTTCCAGAGACATGACAGAATCAAAGAATTCTGATGTCTGTAATAAATATATAATCATTATTAGTAAATTTACTAGCAGGTAATTAATCTCTTAATGGGTAGTAATGTTCAAAAATCACTTTGAGGACTTTAGATCTGTTTTCAATTGCCCATACACACAATGGTATTGCATGTACGATAACGAGAATTGATAAGACGCACAAGTTACTCGGAAATTACGATGCAATGTTCCAGAATTTTGTAGTTGTAATAAAATATTACATCGAGATGATTAATTTTTCGCGACCCAGTTGAAATATAGAAATACCATATACTTGCGCGTCTTCTACCTTCACTTCACCCGTTACTCGGTTCTGCTAAGCATTTTATTCGTTTTAATGACGGTACAGTTATTGCTTTCACAACTTGCACGTTAATTGGCTTACCATCATGTCAGGCGCATCAAAATTGAAGTCCATATTGTTGATGTCCATGTTGAGGTCGTCGTTGGCGGCGTCGCCGCCTTTCAGCACGTAGTCGAGCAGCTGCGACATATTTTCTGGCGCACTGTCTGGGAGCTAGTGGCTCATCACCAAACAAAAGACGCGCACGCTTTATTTTTAGTCACTCGCGATACTGCAATCACGCAAGAAGATGGTGCAATCCAAGAGCGGAATCCAAGCGTGTGCGTGTGGAGTGCACCGTTAGCTATCCGGTTTTGCCAACGTCAACTAACCAACGCTGGGCGGTGGAAAGAAGCACGGCGCGCCGATGAGGTTGGCTGCATGTACAGCAGCCGAATGACGGCATACGATCGATGGGATGCTTTCGGCGCATGCGCAGTATACTCCCACCACTCCCCAACTTGCTACGAGTGAAACTGGTGGGAAGTACAGAAAGTAACTAAAAATATCCCGGCGAGAACTTAAACCAGTGCCCACCAAACAAGTAAATATCGAGATTATATTTAATTAAATTAATTGCACGCAATATTTAATTCTAAGCAATAAATGCAACACGAGTTGATTTGAAATTGAAACGCAAAGGTGAAACCGGGTTAAATTTCGGTAAATTTGCGCACTAAGCACGTCGCGATTTTGTTTTTAATTTGTTTATGCTGTTTTAAATTTAGCATGATTAAAGTGTGATTATTTTGCAAAGTTAGCAGAAAACAATCGCGATGCACACGCCTGAAATCGAAAATTTAAAAACTTATTGCGTTCTAAAACTTCCACACGCCTTACATAACCGCCTTATTAGTTAAAAATTGATTACGAGCGCAAAACATGATGTAAAATTAAGTTTATTTACGATACAGTAAAGTTGTTTCGCAGCGCTGTTGATTGTCATTGTAAAATCTTAAGTTCAAAGTCAACAAAGTGGCAAACGTGTTGCATTTTCGGATTTTTCACTGAAATCTACGTCGCCATCTTGTTTACTTAGCTAAAATTAAGTCACTCAGAAGGTCGCTATCTAATCAGATAACTTAGATATGAAAATATCACGTTACGTAAGTGTTAACATTATTAAACAGTTGGATAGTCAATTTTTTTATCATCTATGTCAAAAAGTCATTCGCTGTCACTGTAGACGGCCGACTTGACCCGCCGCTCGATGTCCCTGATGTGCATCAATGAGTCCATCTTCATAAAACGACTGTTTTGTGGATTTTTTCGATTTTGTCGAGTTTTTTTTAAGATAAAAACAATCGCAACTATGATAATGATTGTTAAGGCGAGAAGGAGTGTGATGAAGACGCGGAAACACCACACTTCTTCCAGAAGAGAGGTTTGTATAGTCAGAGGGTAGCAATAGTGCTCGGAGGTGGTGCGATTGTACAGAAAAGCATCGGGGAAGCATTCAGTACAGGAATAGTCATTGCTTGCGTTGCACGCCTTGCAGGAGTAATGGCACGGCTCACACGCCAAGATGGCGGGCACCTCGGAGGGATCATAGTTGTATTCGGTGTAGGTGACCACGTAGAAGCCTAGTGGACAGCGGTCCACGCAGGAGTTGTCGAAGAAGTAGTAACCTTCCATGCAAACTGCAGAAATAAAGAGAAAAAAATTAATTTCAGTAAATTAACAAAAAAAATAATATGCTAACTTTAAGAGTGATTTATCACAATTTCGCAAAAGTTTATTCCTCCATGTTTTATATCACGTGATAGACCAACTAATAAACTTTAAATTTCCATGAGGAAAGTTATAATTACTTCGTCAGTTTTGATGATACAAGATGTTTGCCGTAAAGCTTTTATTCCAGAGCTAATTTAATAATTGGGTCAACTTTAAGGGTGATTTAACACCAATTCACTTAAGTTTATTATATCAAGTTTTATGCCATCTGAAGGCAGTGCTAATAAACTATCAATTTCTATAATAATATTTCATAATTACTAACGCGCTTTTGTTATACCGGGTGTTTTGTAAAATATTTTTTTTATATCAAAAATATGAAAATTATGAAGTTTTCTGTGGTGAAACAAAGCTACAAAACGAAAATATTAATAAAACAAGCAATAAATTAAAATCAAATATGTTTACGCAAACCATCTTATCTCCAGCGAGATAATGAGCATGAACGCATGCACATTTACAACGACAACAATATCCAATCACACACGCATGCAAAACAAACGCAAATGCAAAAATAAGAAAAAAAAAACGCAGTCTATGAAGTAGCACTCACCTATTCCACGTTATTTGGCGATGCGTGATGTGTTGTTAGGATGACAAATGAAACCGACGCGCAAAGATTCTCACCCGCTCTCTTTCACCTAAACATAAGAAAGCACAAAGAGGGCACAGAGGATAAAAATGACAGCCAGGCAGCAGCTTTTTTGATCATTACATCATTTTCATCATTGTTTATTACTGCTTCGTGTCGCATTCATTTACAAATGTTCATAAAACGTCGAAATCAATTCTTTTCGTCATCTTTTCATCTTCGTCATAATTGTAATCGCTAATATCATAATTTTAAGTAAACGAAGTACAATTCCGTTTTCTTTTGAACTCACGCATCGTAACTGGATGCGAAATAATCAAGTCGATAGGTATTTTACACGTGTACGTATTGTCGTTGTTATTATTCAAAGTTTCTATTGACTCTCGTGACGCGTGCGCATGCGCAAAATGGCTGACTAACAGACTAGGCCGATGTACGACTTTGTGTTTGTTTCTGCTTTTCATCTATCTACATATTAGACGAGATATCTTACAATCAATGGAATTGTCTGCTCAAATAAAATTCAAATTCAGATTCAAATTCAAAATAACTCGCAACACTGCCTCCGAATATTTACACCCGTGTTTTAATCTCATTTTGTGTTTGTTAATCGCTTAAAAGTCATACAATTATCGGAATATATGCAGGACAACGGTCGGAAACGGACACAAACCGTAAACTTTTATAATTCACACAAAATAAAAAAAAATTGCAATGGGTTTTCATGTAATTAATAAAAAAACCAACCCAACTGGTTTGTGTCTATTTCCGACCGCCATACAAATACCCATTTATCATCTAATTAATTGCAATATACGAGGAACTACAGCATTTTAATAATTTTTTTGTTTGCCTTTAAATTTAACGCTAAACCATAATCGCATGTAATATTATTTAATACGCACCCCTAATTCGTATCATCGTATATAATATTTATATATAAAACGTATTAACATATGTACACCACTACACAATTAAATAAATCACAGCGAATTGTATTAATATGTATTAATATGCACGTATGTAATCGATTTGTGTTTGAATTGCAAACCGACCCAACGAATGGTAATCGTAGCGGGCGTACTGCGCATGCGCAGCACACGCGTGCTACCCTTGAATAAGTAATTCTGCTAAGAGAAAGAAGTTGAGCTACTGCGATATGTATATCGTAATAATTGCGAACCGAATGGCAAACATTATTAATTAATTGCACTTCATTAGCGTACTCCCTAGAAATATAGTATTGCGCGTGTGAATGAGCGAGTGTATGTGTGTGCATATGCAAACAATCGGTAAGCAACCCGCAAGACGTTTTGGCACGGAGGGCGTGGTAGATGGGCGGAGCGTAAGCACACATCCCGCTCGGAAATCGCGCCCCAGCATTATTTGTTTTATACGTTTGTTTAGTTTTGTATTAATCCACAGCCTTTGAGAACGAATTGTTTTTTTGTTTTGTTAATCTCCATGTGTGCAATTTTTTTTTGTTGGTTAAGAGTTTCTATAAATATGTTACACTGTCGCCTCTTTCATCGCACGTATCGTATATAAATGATAGTTGTCCCTACTGTAGATTAGATTAAATTATTTAAGAGTTTATCAATATGGTAGTTTTGCATTTGCATTTTGTTTTGGGTCCATCGTTCATTTGGTATCGCGTCTCGCCGTCGAGGACGACACTGGCGCTACGGTCGCGGCAGTGCGCGTGCGCGACATGCCCGCGCGAGGCTATCACAAGTTGTGGGCGGCGGCGACGACACGTCGTGCGATTGGGTATTGTTGTCGTGGGCGGGACCGGCGAGCAGCGAGGAGGCGGCCCGCACGGCCACCGCCAGCGCGCGCACGCAACTCGCGGTTGCGTAGTAAATGGTTATGGCTAGCAACGCACCTATGCACACGCCACCTCGCGAATGCTTGCAGCCGCTCATCGCCTGCTGCGAGAACTCCTCCTCCTCCATCAAATCTTTACGAATCTGTAAAAAAACAAAAATATTCATGAAATGATCCGGAGTACTTGGTGAAGTGGTCTTACCTCCGGATTACCATTTGGTTCCTCATCGGAATCTATCACATTCTCGTTGATGTCCTCTGATGGAGAGTAGGCGGGTGCTTTCGTCATTGAAGGCGTGTCTTTACTCACACTGCCATCTACCGCCGGGGGAGTAGCAGTACCGTAGAACACCAAATCCCATGCGTGAACCTCGGCTGCAACCATTCTCACATTAATATCTCAATTCTCAAAAATTTACGAAAAACAAAACAACAAAACACACAAAAATAGCTACAAACAAATAGTTAATGATTAAATAAATATGAATGTTAGTTTACTGAAAAACACAAACTAAAAAAGAAGAACACGTCTCGTGCACGTTTACCACTTTTGTTTCTCGACGGCATGAGAATACGAGCCGTCGAAGTCGAAGGCGTCACCGTCGGTGATACACGCGTCTCGCTATTCCGATTCGAGTTCAAATCTCGACTCTTCTCCTTCTGTTTCAGCATCTTTTTACGATGTTGTTCATCACCCCCACTCCCACCACTGGTGAATTTTTCAAATTCGCGCTCCGGTATCATTATCGGATAAGTAATGCTATAATTCTTCGCGTATTTGCTAAATTTCGACGCGTTCACAGCGTAGTAAAACGGCAGGAAGTCAGGTTTTTTGCTTTTGATAGCTGGATCGGAAGAGGGTTTCGCGGTCGCTTTCAACTTGGGTTTGGCTTTCGGCTTTTGTTTCTTGTTCTTTTTGCGCTCTTTGCCCGAGGTGCCGCCGCCACCGTTCGCACTCGACGGCGTGGAGTTAATTTTTTTATTAGCTTTCGCGAGCGCGCTGGGATCAAGATCGTTGGGGTTCGTCTGGTTGATGCCGTACAGGACGAGCGACCACGACTGCAGCGTAGCGCGGCCTGCAAAACAGCATTAGTCATGGTTATTGCACCAGCACCAGCAAAAGCTAAGCAGAGAAACCCATAACAGTATTAGACCCCAAGATAGGTTAGGTTATGTTAGACTGGGATGACTTAGATTAGTGGTATACCTAAGAGACGTCCATCATTGTGGACCTCCAACGTCCAGGTGCCCAATGGTGACTCGCCCCACGAGTGAACCGACATGAAGGGCCAATGGGTGAAACCATTCCTGGAAAGGTCATGGATTCGGTGCGCTAGAAGTGTCACCCTTGTCCCCATTGGTGATATCAGTTGGATGTTTAGGTCTCCTCGCTTGTGGGAACTGATGGTCAACTTGGCTTGGACATGTTCGAGGACCTTCACTTGCCCCGCATCGGTTACCGTCAATGACAGGACCACCACGCTTCTAGCTGGGATTTTCCTAAATACACAAAAAGATGTTCAACAACTGATGATGTGACCCTTATATTATCATTACTTGTCTGTTTGAGGTGCATTGACCTCATAACTATGCTGCTCCGGAACAGTAATCCACTTCCGGGCTAACTTGACCATAGCATGCGCATCCATCAACCCATACCCAAAACTATGTGACACATTCCTTCCAACTCCATTGGTTTGCCAATCATGGGCGATCAAACGTTGGGGTCTTGCAGTCCTCACCACGATATGCTGCATATCTCTCCAAGTCAACTTGGGATTCGCTTCCAATGCAAGCGCACAGATCCCAGCTGCCAATGGAGCTGACGCTGAAGTACCTGTATGGCTAGCTGTGCATGCATGATGTAAATCCGTGGTAATCACTTGCCGCTCCCCAACTTCACCACTAGAATAAGTAGTAGCAAGGGTTGAGCTACAAGCTTCACTATACCACGGCACGCGACCATGTTCCGTAGCGCTGGAGATACTCAACGAGTATATGGAATTCGTATACCCATCACAGTTGCAGTTGTCATGGTCACGACCACCATTCCCCGAAGCCCACACAAAAATAGACCCCTTCCCATTCCGACCCTTAGTCACACCTTCAACAAAAGCCCGAGTTGCGAGCTCCCCAGGCCCATCCACTGTCTTCCCATCATCGTCAGGTCCCCAGGAGGCGCTGTAGATATCAATATGTTGTGGATTCAAACTCAGGGACCGTGCCTCCACTGCATCTGTGACATCCCCGTCCAACATTCGCACACCTCCCACCTGAGCGCCATGTGCCACACCAAGAGAGCAGATTGAGTTATTACTGGTGGCAGCTACCTCCCCAGCGCATCGGGTACCATGCCGATTGGAATCGATCATATCATATCGTGGGCTTGGATCTGTGTCTTGATTGTTTACATCATAAGACGCCATTGGATCCTTTACAACACCATCAAATGAAAAACCAGAATAAACAAGATAATATTATACGTACATAGTTTTGAATGAGGTCAGGATGGTCCTTCTCTAAGCCATCATCAAGGATGGTAACCACTGATCCTTTACCAGTGATACCCTCCTGCCACGCAGGGATGACATTCATGTCCATACCGTTGCCTCGATTGAGGTACCACATTGAGGGCCATCGAGGGTCTGAATATAGGATGAAATCTTGGAAGTCTCGCTTCGCGCGTCGTTTGGCACGTTGCTGTTGTGCCCAAGCAATGCGGGTATCAACCGCCAGCTGTACACGTTTACCATGATGAGGAAAAGTTGACCTGCGGACTATCCTCGGGTGGGAGAAGTGATAATAGTCTTGGAATATCTGTAAATAAAAGAAAACAACTTCAAACAACATCAGGGGCGGCCATTTTTAATATTTGACTATTTTTGATATTGAGAGCTATCAAGTTTTTGAGCAGGATGAAAAATGACGGATTTTGCACCAAATCCACTTTGGTTTCAATTTGCTGTACACGCCAAAGAGGAAATGAAAACAATTTACGTAATACACGTGCGCATGTTGGAAATTGTACAGCGTTTCCCGCGGGAGTGATCGGTGTGTAAAAACGGCGTGAACTATCGCAATCGATATTTCACACCAATCATAAAATACGTGTTTAATCTAAGCCGAGCGGCGGCGTTTGAAAAGTTTTCGCTTTTTTTTTCACCTTGAAAATAAGACAGATTGCTGTTTTAAGGTTAAGTATAAATTGAGGTCGGAATGTATCTGTTCCGGCAATAAATTCACTTTTTATTCGCCGGCGCGGTATGGTTGAACCGTTGAACGTGTGGCTTTGGCTTCATTAATGTCGCAAAATATTAGGATATTTTCGAATCAATGAACCGGAATCCATAAAACCCACCGCAAAGCGCATTGCACACGCGCTCGCACACACAAACACAAAAACGCGCGCGTCGCAAGAGGAAGGAAAGTCATGAAAATAGCGGAGTAGGTTACCGTTACCGTTATTAAAACTTTTTTTTTCCTTCGCTACTGGAAAGCTTAAAGCACATAAAAAGCTCGGCTTTATTTCTTTACATTTTAACGAGCAGAAAAAGTATTTTTGATTGTAGTCAATTTGATTGATTACAAATTAAGATAAATAAATTATTTTTCCTTATTTAAGGTCCTTAAAATTAAAATTTCGCTACCAAACTTCACAAGATTTCCCACCGATTTATTCTTAAACTTGTCTGAAAATTTCATCAAAATCCGTCAAGATGTTTCGGAGTTATTGAGGAACACACACACATTTTTATATTTCTACTAGATAAAAAGCACTAAATGTCGAAAAAATCACGCTATAATAAACAACCCGAAATCCAACCCTGAAAGCTCTCTATTTGCTAAAAGCGGCCTTTTATTCCTTTGATTTCTTTGATTGGTTTGATTGATGTCCCGTTTCCTTTGCCCGGCGTAACGATATTGTGTGTTATTTACTCTTCGCAGTAAATTGGAACAAAAGTCATTTAATTACGCCGCTCCAGCGCGCCGTGATAATAAAATAAACGAATTCGAGATTTCTGGCGTGGCTGCCTCCCCCGGGGATGCGCGCGACAACCGCGATAATGACTTTTAATCAATATGGACCACAATAACGCGGCCGAATACGAAAATTAACCGTGCACGCAGCAAACAAGAAAAGTTTATTTTCCAGACGGCGATAAGCATTGCCCAGAAAACTTGAGTTTGTTTATCAGGCCAAAATTACCTCTTTTTACGCTTCTAGTTTAAACTTTGAATATTTGAGATTGCGAAAGAATTCGAGCGGAGAGAGGAAAAGCAGAAGTTGTACTACGTGCGCTAATCGCATCGCATTTAATTTGGCGCCGAGTCAAGATCCCGTCGATTTTTCGTCGAAACCGGATGGACGCGTCCGGTCCGAGATTTTTCTCCTCGATCGTTTTATTTATTTTTTACATTCCCGAGCATCGAATGTCGGGAGGTCAAAAAAGCGCGCACCGAGAATGTGCCGAAGTAAATGAGTCGTGTAACAGTCAGTCGATCGACGCGACCCGGGTATTCGGATGTGGAGGCGGCGGCAGAGAGGTCGATTAATTTTCTAAATCCACTTTAGACCAGTGAATAACAGCGAATGTGGAGTTTACAAACGATTTTCTACTAGTTCCCTACCAGTCAGAGTAGGAAACTTTTATTTTTTACAACATGGCGGGGATGTGATGTTCATGACAGGTTATGTAATGCAAAATGGCGGCGTTTGGTTTTTCCAACGCTCAAACAATTAAATTTTACTTTAGTAAATTAATTTTCGTTAATTTGAAACTTTTTGTCATTCGCTCATTAATGGTGGTCGCAAATAGCTCGAGTGGAAAATTCGCCGTCACAATCGCGTCACGCACTAATTGCATAATAAACGCGCGCGAGCCGTGCGGATTTGCATGCGCGCATATGTAAAAAAAACCAGAGCAGACGAGGCAGCGCACACAACACTCGAAATCGATTGCGATTATTTGTTTGAAATGCGCGCGACCGCAAATCGACTCGAATTAAAAATCGGGCGTTTCGTAATCCACGAATGTAAAATTCCAAATCCCAAACCTATTATTTCACATTTCCAATCCAAGTTTCACACCTAAATACGAGGATTTATGAATGTTACAAAAAAGTAAAAAAGAATCTAGCGCACCTTTTTGTTCGTTTCTTCTTTGCGCGTGTGTAAATATATAAAGGCAACATCTTTTGTTTTTGTTGCTTTTGTGTCTCGAAAGTGAACAATTGAAGAGCAACTCGCCGCAATCGAAGAGGCATTTAAATGCAACCCAATACGAACAACGTCTTTGTTCTGATTGACATTTAGGTGTGTGCGACCTTTTACAAGATGAGAACACGAGAAGAATGGCAATCTTCTTCAGAGCATCAAAATGTCTTCTTTTATTTCAACGCGAAATAAGATTTCATCAAAAAAATTAAATTTTAAAAGTTTACTAGTCGCAATTTTTAAATATTTAATTTTATTTTAGAGTATTAAGATTGAGTTATGATAATTTGAGTTTTTTTTCTTTATTGCAAATTTTCGAATATGTTCCGCGCAGATTAAACAACACATCGATTGTCTTAGTTGTTTGGTTTGGTGTCGACAAACAGGCGCGTCTGTTTACGCTGACAGATTGGCGTCTGCGAGCGCGTTTCTGTGTTTGAATTCGCGTATAATTAATCGAGCAGTGCCGCTCGCATACGCCCTCCGGCGAGTACACACAACACGAGGGTGTCGATCGAATCAAATTCGTAATTCGATTCGTCTTGTTTGAGCTGGCTGCTCTTGCTGCGCATACATGTCTTGTTGAAAATTAATTTCGTTCTCAATTATTCATATATTATCGTCAAAAATCAACAAAAATCATTTTTATTACCATGTTTTAATATGCTTAGAATGAAAATTGATTTTTAACCTTCAAAGCAACATTTTTAAAATTTAAAAATTAGTTACACCACGTATAACTCAAGAACGACTGGATGGATTTTGATGATCAATGATTTATTAAATTCGTCTTGGTCCCGAATAGGAGAATAACTATTAAAATATCAAAAATTATGACGCGAAGGGTGTTAAATAAGGGATGAAAATATAACATATAGAAAATATGCAGAAACTATTTCTTTTCTGTTCTTTCCAAGCTGAAATGTGCTTCCCTGGGTTCTACACGCGCGGAAAACTGAAAGCTACTTTCGCATGCGAATAGTTATGTTCCTGTGAGTCAAAATTCTGTAATCAAATTCTGCGCCACGCTTCGACTTCCTCTCCTAACTTGATAAATTGTCGCCGCCCTCGAGTGAGTGTGTGCACAGCGAAGATTAGTTCCACTACCGTTTACCACTCACGTCTAGCTTATCACGCTCTTCTGCTTTTATCCAATTTCGCGAAAAATCTCAGCGATTTGCGCCGATTTTCAAAATACACTTTTGAATAAAATGGAAGAAAGTCGATTTTAATAGCGGTTTGTGCTTGCGTCGTTTTTCCTATTGTTGTCTGAGTGAATTTATGTGCGAGTTGATGACAAAAGCCAAGAGCTTTTTAGTTGTGAATGTTATGATGATTTGCGAAGAATCGTGAATGGTAAAGTTTGCCGCCGAGAGAAGTCGAACTCAAAGTGGAGGCGCCAACTGCATTCGACTCCTATGTCCGCGTGAAAATGCAAATGAGCAATGCCTCGCATTCGGCGCACACAATGCCGTGGATCGTGGAAAACTTTGTTTTGCTGGAGAAAAGTCAAAAGGATGCGCGGTGTCTGGTGACAACAATGCGTCTTCGAAAACGTCGTAATACTGACGCCGGAGTTATTATTTCGCGTTAACATGGCCGCCATCTTGAATTTCTAATTTTCCACATAAATCTAAACAAAACCAATTAAATATTGAGCAAATCATGTAGATATCTTTACGCAATCAAAAGTTTTTAGGTACTTAAGCTGTAAAAGTTTACCAAAATGGCGCATAATGACAAAATGGCGGCAAAGCCACTCTGAATAAACGATTCAGCTAATAACACAAAAGGTAAAGCTGAAGGTAATCTAATTACGGATGAAATTCACCGTCGTCGGCGGCGGCGTCGTCTGTTGTTAGCGTAATGGCTGAAAGACGTCAACTACACCAACAACACTTACGTCGCTGGCTTAAAAGTGCTTTTGTATGCATAATTTAATTTACTACCTTTTGTGCAGAACAACCTCAAGAAGTTTAGGTTTTAATGTGTTTTGTTTCGTAAAGTTTTTATTTTAAGATTAGGAGGTTATGATGCATTTTGTTATGCGCTACCGCTCATGCGCAGTGACCCGCTAGCGCTCTTAGCCCCGGATAATAATCACGCACGCTGCAAATGCATTGATATGCATGGTAATACACGAAAAACACGAATTTAAATAACGCTCCTAAATGGATTGCGTGCGGGCCGCCATCGTGAAATCTATCCGCGCACGCAATTCGACAATCAGAATATTTCTAGCGTGTGGTTGAATTATGCGCGCTTATCCGCTTTTCCGCATCATCCGAAAAACACATAAAAATAATTTCACTTTAATGAAATAAAAATCGTGATTAAATAAATATTCCTAACCTCGATTTTCCATTAGGTGCATAACTGTAATGTGGGCAATGAAGAAAACTGTATTACCGACACGATGATAACTAATAACACTTAAATGTAAAGTATAAAGATTGTTGCAGTTTGCAAGAATGAAAACGGCGGAAATTAATTTACTCCCCACGTAGTGCGGGATGCGGTTTGAGCTGAGCTCGAAAATTCCGCGAATGAAAATGATAACGAGACGCGACAAGACGCGCAGCGCGCTAGCAATCGTCATAAT